CCGCTTCTCTGTGATTTCCTGAGTGGTCTCTGCGCTGACACAAGAAGCCCGACATGAAGGCCGCGCGTCTCCGTGGCCATCTGCGCGCCAAGCCCTCCAGGCCGCCAGGCGCTCACAGGGGCCGAGCAGGGCGGGTGTCATGGGGATGGCCTGCCTGCTTGTTCCTGGCTCCCTGCTCAGGAACACACGCTGCCTGTCTTTCTCCCAGGTCTCTGGGGGCACAATAAGAGAGCTGGTGGAGGCCCTGAGACAGATGGGCTATACCGAAGCCATCGAAGTGATCCAGGCAGCCTTCTGCACCCCAGGAACCGTGGCCCCCGGCCCCGGGAAGGCTGCACCTCAGACCCTCTCGCTGCCCCTCTCACCTGCCTCCACGAGGTCGCCAGTAGGTAAGGGAAAAACAGAACAAGCAGCGGAGATAACCTCCTGCTTTCCAGGCTGTGTCCTCCATGTCTTGAGCTATGGCTGTCGTCCCCTGAGGACCCTGTCCGGTGTGTCCATCTCCCTCCACAGCTCACGGGTTCTACCTCTGTGCCTCTCCTATGCTGCTGGTCAGTCAGGGTGCTGTCCCCAGGAGCAGTCCCATTGACCTGCGAATCACTTGGATTCGTAGTAAATATTCCGTAGTAAACAGTAAAATAAATACTAAAAACAGTGATGTGGCTACTTAAGGCAAATAGTGTCTCTCACTTCTTAAGTGTAAAGGAGAGAAAGGAACTAACAGAGCAGGGCCTGTAGAGCCAGGGCTGGCCCCAGACTGTAGATGACACCGCAGTTCCCACCACAGCACCCTCAGCTCCTCCCGTCCAGCCCAGAAGTGGCTTCACCTTCTCCCTGCGTCTCCTCCCAGCCCCCAGCACTGACCCTCTGTCCCCCACCTGAAACATGTCCCAGAACAGACTCCCAGCAGCCCAGTAACCCTTTGTTTCCCTGCAAATGTGTTCTCGAACTCTCTCAACAACCACTCGTGCTTTCTCTCTTTGGACCCTCCCTCTGTCAGTCCCCACCGAGAACATGGCAGCAGCTAGAATTCCCTCATCCTTGAAAGACCAACAGTTGGCCATGTCAGGCAGAAGCTCCTCCATCCTCCAGGAGGTTAGGACAAAAATCCAAGCCTCACCTGTGAACATCTGCTGCTCGCAGCCAGCACACACGCAGCCCCCAGCCCCTCCTCTGGGACAGCCTCCCTTGTCCATCCACCTTCATTTCTTGCCTCAGTTCCTGCAGCAGCTCCTGGTCAGTCTCCCTGCTTCTGGTCTGCCCCTTTTCCTTCAGTGCACTCAGGCAACAAGAGTCTTTTTAAAAAGTAGTGCTATGTTGTACCTGTTGTATACCTTCCAGTTCACTTATCCACTCACCAAATCTTTAATGAGCACATCCTATGTGTCTAGCACTGTTCAAGGCTTTGAAGAGAGAGAGGTAACAAAGGCAGTGTCACTTATCCATTGTCTCTCGCAAATCCCTTCCATATGCCTTTCCTCCTGCCCCACTTCCCTGCACCCACTGTCCTCCAAGCCCTCTGCCCACAAGTCTGATCCCATCTCAGGACCCCCTGCCTGCAAAGATCCTCACCCAGTGGCTCCTCCTTGCCCTTCGATATCAGCCCAAGGGGTCACCTTGTCAGGGGCCCTTCTAGGAGAGTAAGGACAGATGTTGCACACATTGGAAAGGAATAAAGTGTCCACCAGCAAAATAGCCCTCATCTCCTATGTCATGACCTGATGCTCCTTCTACACAAAGAAATAGAAAAATACTTATATCTTTAAAATCTGATTTGATCTCTGACTTGTAGTTATTTCTAAAATACCTCCTACACATAGTAGAAACCCAGTAGAGATTGGGTGACCAAATAAATCAAATCAGTAAAAAAATCTACCAAATTAGTAAAAAAACAACAGCATGTCACTGCCATTAAGGTCTTAATATTTTAATATCAGAACTTAATATACAAGAAGATAGCATTTTGATTTGTGTATATTAGACTTTCTTTCTCTGATCACTTTCTTTCTATAGGCAGTAACTCCACATTGTTCCCATCTTGAAAGACGCTTCTCAACAAGGAGAGTGTGACCTACTTGTTCATCACAGACTCCTTTTCCTCATAATCACCTTATCTTTTCTCTGCTATGAGAATGTTTTTGAAGCAATGAGTAGCATTTAATAGCACGTGAGGCCCAGAGAGATATCTCATTTTTAGTTCCTACTTCGGTCACACATTTATTTTGCCTGGGTTCAGCAATTTCCCCAGCTAGAAAATAGGTAAGACAGTGGTTGGAAAAATATACCTGATTTCTAAGAAAAAGAAGGCCCACTGTGAGTTAAGAGAATTCAGAAAGGATTCTGATAAACGTGATGGTAAGGAAGAGATGTGGAAACATTTGCCTAATTCTGATGTCTTCATGGTGTTTCTGTTGCCCGGGGTTCTCCCTCTGTCGGCCGTCACCAAGTGCAGTAGCAACAGGCAGGTGGCAGGAGTGACAGGCGGGCGGCCTGTGGAAGCTGATAGACAGGAGCCGCCCACCAGCCTCTTAGACCCAGACTCTGAGCCTGCCTGGGCTAAAAGGTGTAGGAGAGCCAAGGCTCTGCCCTCTCCCTAGCTGTGCCCCAGTGACTCTGTGCTTCTTTCCACAGACGAGGTCCGAGACGACAGCATCTGCGACAGCGGCGTGGAGACGTCCTTCCGCAAACTCAGCTTTACAGAGTCTCTGACCAGCGGCAGCTCTTTGCTGACTCTTAACAAAGTGCCCCACGAGTACGGGCAGGAAGGACCCATAGAGGGCAAAATCTAGCCTGCTGGCAGTTCCCCCACACCGTGTAAACCAAAGCTCTGAAATTCCACCCTTGTCCAAAAGAAGGAAGGCGAAGTGCATCCACGGGTGCTCAGAGGAAAAGCAGCCTGCCTCCATCTCTCGGAATTTCACTCAAGGCCTTTTGCAGTTGGCTTCCTTTCTCGGTTCTCACGGGAATGTTACTAGTCCAGTCCACGAACACACAGTCCAGAGCAGTCACCATGCCTGGCTGGCCTGCCGCCTCCCCGTGGGCAAGCTGGCTTAGTGAGCTTTCCCAGCTGCTTCCCGTTGTCACTGCTGCTGCCCCCACACCCCCGCGTTCCCGCTGGCATTAAAAGGTGACCTGGTCCCCACCTGGTGTTCTCGCTGGCCGTCCACAGCACTGTCGTGCATTCAGATTAAGGATTATGAAAAGGGATATTTTTAAATGAAAGTTACCTGGTATATAATTAAAAAAAAAAAAGGCTTTACTGCTTTTTCTAATGTGGTTATCTATGTGATTCGAAAACAGAATATGTAATGTCAATATGTAAACACGGTTACAATCAGTGCTGCAAATGGTCTTTACCCCCTTTTTCTGCATTTTGCTATTGTAAATATGTTTTTTAGATCAAATACTTTAAAGGAAAATATGTTGGATTTATAAATGCTATTTTTTATTTTACTTTTATAATAAAAGGAAAAGCAAATTGGTTACCTCATTCTGTTCGATCTCCAGAAATACTTTTCTGAGATGATTCCTTATAATCATGGGATCATTCCACAGCCCAGTTATCACATTCACATACCCCTTCAGAGTCCAGTTTTTGACCCAGAAATGAACCCCCCAAAAATGATCAAAAGAGCAGTTGTTTTAAGCTGAGATGAAAGCTTTGGGTTTGTCGACTCCTAGCTTGGCTCGTTTCATTCTGGCTGTGCCGCCTCACCTCCCACCGCCTCGTGGGACACTGGCCCCCCCCCGCACCCCTCAGGGTGCTCTCGGGGCCCCTGCGCTGCCTCAGGTCCCGTCATCTCTGCACATGGAGGGGGGTCTGCGACCTGCAGCCTTCCAGCAGGAAGCTTGGCTGACTGCTCTTCACTCAGAGGCTTGGAAACAAGGGAGAGGGGACATGAAAAGCGTTTTAAGGAGGTGCTGTGATGAACCCTGGGACACGCAACCAAGAACCCTCTTTAATAAAGGCTGCATCCACCCAGCCGCCGGGAGCACACTTGGCCAAAGGCCTCTTGGCCTGTCAGTTCCTTTGGGGATTGCCTCAGCCACAGAGAGCCACCCCACCAGATCACACTCTTGGCCCTTATGGCCCCGAGTAACATGGATGGATGTGGCATACAAAGGCTCCTCAGCCCCTGGGATGACGGTGAAGGGCTGTCTGTGCTCCAGAGCTCCCTCTCGCTGGCTGAGCTATTGTTGGGGTCTGCGTCACAGCTCGGGTCTTCTGCCTGCCCAGGACGGCTTCCTCCCCCAGCCTGCACAGGCCTGGATCCCAGGCCACCCTGGCTCCCTCTCAGAGCCAGCTTTCGTGGAGTCCAACCTGCACAGAGGCTGAGAGCTAATGGTGACCACTTTTGCTCAACCTACAAAGTCACGCAATCTTGAAGATAACCCAATCAAGTGTACAGAATTATCCCCAACATACAGAAAAGGAAATTGAGCCCCAAGAGTTCAAGTAGGCAGTGGCTAAGCTGCTTCTGAGTGTATATCCAGGTCTGTCTAGTTCCAGAGCTAATGGGCTAGAGAATTATCTTGGTGAGGACAAAAAGATAGGTTAAGATAATTGAGTCCAGAAGTAGACCCCAAAATATATAGGAATTTAGTATATAATAAATTTCAAATCAATGAGGAAAAGATGGTTAATCAATAAGATGTTCCATCTGGTTAATCACTGGAAAGAAGTTAATCTGAACTCCTACTTCCCTTCTTTCACCAAAATGACTTCCAAATATACCAAAAATGAAACCATAAAAATGCTAGAAATACTAAAAATCATGGATGAATAATCTTGAAATAGAGGAGGCCTTTTTAAGTAAGACTTTGTTCTTGCTGTGAACAGTTTGGGTTCTTCGTTTCACAGTGTGTCCCAAAGAAATGAAAATATTTTTAAAATTCTACTTCTATTTTTTATTACATTGCCATTTCTCCACATGCTCCAATCCGTTCTTCCAGTTGTTGAAAGTTGTATCTTTAAAAAAACAAAAAACAAAAAACCTTAATTCTCCAGCAACAAGCCCATGACACTGTCCCTCCCCTGTTCCTCTCTGTGCAGATGGTCATTTTCCAGTTGGCCAACAGCAGCTCTCGGGTCTCCAAGATGGAGGCCGACACTCCTCCCACTGAGGGAGGGGCCTGTGCTCCTCCCTCATCACTGTAGGCCTATGAAAGGGTAGAACTGATGGTAAATGGCTTCCGAGGTTAGGTTGGAAAATGCAGTGCAGCTTCTGCCCGGACCACCCCCCCATGTCACTCCCTCTTGGAACCCAGTTACCACACTGTGGGGAGCCGAGTGGATACATGGAGAAGCCACGTCGTAGGTGTTTGGCCATCAGCTTTCACTGAGGTCATGGCCAACGCCAGCACCGCCAGCAGATGTCTGAGGGAGGGAAGCCTTGAGATGATTCCAGTCGCTAGCCACTGAGTCACACCTGTCTAACCTTCAGGCTGCCTCAGCCACTGCTGCCCAAGCAGAGACAAGCCGTTCAGGCGAGCCCTATGCAAATGGCAGATTCACGAGTAAAATCGTGGTTGATGCTGTAAGTCCTACGTGCGGAGTGTTAACATTCTCCAGGGCTCTAACCTGACAGCTCCCATACCAGAAAGCCACTTTAAAGAGAAGCTGACTCCAGGAGGAACTACTAAGCAACTCATGCCGAGACTAAAAATAACATTCCCCTTCTTCAATAAGAAGCCCTGTTTCTCTTCTGTTCTGGAAACTTCCTCTTTCCCACCTCCCAGATCTCAGTGTGGCCTGAGCCTCTGCATGGTGCTTGAGCAAAAAGGCTATCAACGCTATGTGTACCTCTGAGGAAGGAGTGTCTTTCATAGTGTACCAGCAGATGGGGATCAATACCAGGAGGAACGCGGGAGATCAGGTGGAAAGCTACAATGGGCCGGAAATCAACCTTCCCAGAAAGCCCGTCTGTCAGCAGGAAGCCATTTAAAAATAGCTTTCTCAGAACTTTGTCATCTTTACTCTGCAGGCATAACCTAGACTTCTGCAGGAGGGGCAGTCTCTGTTGGCAGAAGGAGGCCCTCGTCACCCACCTGAGTCCCCTGCAGTAGTCCAGTGGGGCACAGATGGCCCTCGTCACGCAGTGAAGGGCAGCCTCACAAACCAGACCCTCCGCACCTTAGCAAGAGAAAGGAAAGGCAGGAGCCAGGCAGATTGGTGTGCAATCCCCTTTGCATTAATGATTTCTAAATGATAATTGTCAGACTCCCTCTGAGGTACATATTTAACCCCAATGTTAGAGTGAGGAAATGGATAATCTGAATATTAACTAATTCACTCCAGATTTAAATCCAGGTCTGTCAGATCCCACGGGTTACTCTTTAACCATGTCTGAAGACCTTACAAGGAAAGAGGTGGTATTTAAAAGGGAAAGAAAAAAATCCATACAATTCTATATGATAATAGAGTCATAAGGTACCTCAACCGAAATACAAAATGAACCTGGAATATCACTGAAGAGCCTTGTTGCTTAAATGTTAACCTGGCTTGATTTTCCTTCTAAAACCAGGCTAAGGGGGCGCCTGGGTGGCTCAGTGGGTTGAGCCTCTGCCTTCGGCTCAGGTCACCATCTCAGGGACGGGAATCGAGCCCCGCGTCAGGCTCTCTGCTCATCGGGGAGCGTTCTTCCCTCTCTCTCTCTGCCTGCCTCTGCCTACTTCTGATCTCTGTCAAATAAGTAAATAAAGTCTAAAAAAAAAAAAATAAAACCAGGCTAAGATGCTTAAGTATGAATTATTCATGGACAGGAGGTCACTAGGAGCATCTCTTTCTCCTTATTGTGCTTCTGGGGGAAATTTTCTTTCTGATTTGTGCTTCCCCAGGTAATGGGCTTGGGGAGGCACAGGAGTAAAGAGAAGGTGAAGCTAGAATGCTGTCTATCTTGAGGGTCTGGCTGGCTCAGTCAGTAGAGCATGTGACTCTTGATATCAGGCCTGTGAGTTCAAGCCCCATGTTGGACATAGAGATTACTTGAAAAAAAATGCTGCTTATTTTCTTAAGCATCACAGAACTTAGAGCTGGGCATTATCTTAAAGATCACCTAAGTAAATCATCCAAGTTGTCATCTTTTTTTAAACACCTACAATAGGAAGCATCTCATCTTTATAATCCTCACTATAGCCTGCCACTTCATTTAAACACCAATCCCAGAGGCTATAAATTCTTGTCCATTGGTTGGGGGAGGCGCTGTAGAGGGGCTTGAAATTAAATGGATTCTCTCATTTTCCATTATTGTGGATTCCATTATGTCTGCAATGGCCTGATTGCGCTACCCTGGACAAAAGACGAGTTCTACACATTGTTCAAGCTTCTTAGAATGAGAGGGAGGAAGGGGCTGAAATATCATTTTTTCGCTTCCAGCAAATAGCTCTTCCACAATGATCTCTCTTTCCAAAATGATGATTTCATTGAAATATCACAACAATCCTCCAGGAATGAAAATATGTATTCAGTCAAGATGTTTTTGAGCATCTGTTGCGTGCCAGGCACTACAATAGGTGGTCATCATTCACTTACTAGTATTACGTATCTGAAAACCCTGTGAAGAAAAATTTGTCCCTATTTTATAGATGAGTAAACTAAGGCAAACATAAAGCATTTAACCACAGGATCTCCTGATTGCAATAAGGTGGTTTCATAAGCCACACTTACAGCAGGGACAGGGGTGGGTGGTAGGGTATGTCTCTTCCACTTAGTCATGAAAGGACGCTGGCTGACAGTTGCTCTTCCTCCCACCCTCGGCTGCCAGGGTCCCAGTCAGCTGAAAGGGGAAAAGAGCATGGAGGAGTACATGTGGGAGTTTTGAAAGGAGCGCTTCCTCTCACATGGTCCCAGAGAAGAACATAAGTCCCACAGCCATGGGACCAAGAGCAGGGAGGTGATAGGGGTGATCAACTTTTGTTCCCTATATTAGGAGGAATGATTTTGGAGAACACGTCCCAGGGTCTGGCACAGATCAAAATTCTTTACCCGACTGAAGGAGGAGCTTAACCTGAAGGTTCTTTCTAATTCCAAGTTGTGTGCAAACATTCACTCACTCTGGCTGTAACCAAAAGCAAAACCATTTCCCAGGATTAAGAATGAAAGATGCACTGTAAGGACAGTCACAGTTCCTCTGAGGATTCGGAAATCCTCAGAAATAATCAAGTGTATTAGACTAGGTAGGATGGGGGAGAATTACAGCAAGGGCTTGTTGCCCTGGCACTGACTCAAGGAGGACTCCTGTTCTCCAGCCCCTGGGGTCCGTAGTTCCTTAACAACAGACCTTGGGCTTGTTGATGCCAAGATTAAGAGTCTTCAAGGCATCATGGTCCTTGGGATCCCACCCAAAGGAGAAAGGCAAGCAAGTTTATCTCCCTTGTGATCTGCAGAGAACAGGCATTTCTCGGATGAATAAGAAAGGAGCAGAAGTGGGTTCTTAGGGGAATAATAATCCCTCCAGACCAGAAGAAGAGCAAATGAAACAGAATTCTAGAAACCCCTTCTCCTGGGGGTCCATCTTAGGACTCAGGAAGCAGGGTTGATGCTTGGGATGGTCAGATGAAACCTCCAGGCACATGAGGGGAGTGTGTAGGATGGGAGGAGGTTATGAGTTCATGCTGCATACTATAGACAACCGGGTTGCTGGGACTATTCGCAGGCAGTAAGTTGTTTTTTGTTTTTTTGTTTTTTTGTTTTTTCATTTCAAAACTGTTGTGCGGTTGCCCTTCCCTTTCCTAAGGCAAGAACCAACAACAAATTATTTTGTTTCAGAAATCCAAATGAGAAACTTCAGAGATTTTTTTTTTTTCTTTTATAGGGCACCTTTTTATCACTTTGTTCAAATGTAAATGTTCCCTTTGGCTTTTGAAATAAATTTCCTTTTGCAGTTTTGGGAGAGAAAAAAAATCCAAAAACAAAATCTAAAACTTTGATCTACACAATATTTTCAAATGTTTATTCTCCTAACAATCTGGGAAGCAAACAGGGAGGGGTTTTAATTGCCGCCTTTCTTTCACAAAATAGCAAAGCCCCCATGTCCCTGTTGGTTCCTGGTCTAGTGGAAACAGGGCTGGACTCGGCCTTCAGTGCTCTAACTGCCCTCCTTGGACTGGCGCTGCAGCCCCTCCCAGAACCCACGGCTGCTTGGAAGGAGAAGGTCACAACGGCAGGCCCAGGAGAGGGCAGGGAAAATGGCCAAGTGCAGGCACTGAAGGCTGTCAGAGCAGAGGGAAAAGCAGCATCCGGCCAGGCCGGCTGCGCTCAGCACCAGTCCCTGCGAGCAGCCCCTGCCACCACCACCTCCAGGGGCCAGGGGGTCACACCGGCTATCCTCCTCCGTCCTTCCTTTCAGCCTCTCTCACCTCCTTTGCTTTGGGACTCTCGGGAGCTGCTTCTCAGCCCCGTCCTGCATTTTCTTCCCCCTCCCCTTCCCCCAACAATTCACCCGGGGCCTCCAAATTCTCCCAAGGGTCCCCAAGTTAATGTGGAATCCTGCCTCACAGCCGAAGGGCAGCCTGGGCCAGAGAAGCCAAAGGGCCAGAAATCACAGCCAGGGGAAGCCTCACTGCATCTCCTCCCCAAAGTCCTAGGCTGTGCCCCTCCTGCCACACCTGAGACCACCTCCCCCTCCTCCGCAGGGGCCCCAGGCCTCCCAGGAATCGTTTGCTCGCCCCTGGGCCCCCATAGTCCTGTTTTTGTCTGGGAAGATCAAAGCTGCCCTTGGGCCCTGACTCCCTCCCCCACCTCACCCAGCGCACCTTTTGAGTGATTATCAACATAAGCACACTTACATGAGCCAGGGACCATTTTAGTTCTGAAAGGCAAAGAGACTCCAGATTTAAAGATTCAAGAAAGAATGTGTGGGCAGCGAGTCACCCACATGCCCCACATGGCCGCCTCCTGAGCCAGTCTCCAGATCTCCCTCTTTGTCACCAGCAGGTCCTGCCTTTCTTCAGATGACGCCTTAATTGGGGTTTCTGTCCCTTCCCACTGCTCCCGGTTACTGCGCCTTGTAAGAGCACTTCTGACTTCCCTCTCCTCCATCACCTCTTCTGGAGGCTTTATGCCAAGTTTTCATGACCCATCCTAATTAAATTAGGGTTAAAGATCATAATCCCTCCTCCACCCTCCTTCTGCCTCCCTGCCTCCCTTCCTCCTCCTATTTATTCTCCCTGCCTCCCTTCTCTGCCTGCCTGTCTTCCTCCTCTCACCCTTTCTCTCTCCTTCCTCATTCCCTTTCTCTTTCTCTCTCTGCCTTTCTTTCTTTCTGCCTTTTTCTTTCTCCACCCTCCTTTCTCCCCCCCCGTCCTCCACACCCCCCACCCACTTTCTCTTTCTTTCTTTCCTGGAAGACTCTTCCATTCCAGGGCACCGGCCTCCAGCATTGGGAAGGGCAGGCTGTTCAGGCACCCAGCTTCTTCCCCAGATTCTTCTCCACACCCTCTGCAGGGGAAGCCTCCTGGAAACCAGTGCCCGGGCCTATGGCTGCCCACCGCACACACACATCCCCCCGCCGCCCCCACCGCCAGCAACCGCCACCGGCCCCATTTCCTGTGCACAGGAGGCCCCTGCTGGAAGAAGCAGAATTTTGCACAATCATGCAACAGCTGGTCTGCCTCTTGCTACTCAACTTTTTTTTACTTGAACAAATTTGGAAAGAGGCTTACAAGAAAAGGGAATTAGAAACTTCTTGGGCTTTCTGCCTGAATGTTTTTCCTTCAATTCAGGTCACAGAAGCTGATGATTATTTTCCCTTAGCAAAGACTTGAATTGTTTTTTCTTTTGGCAAGAAACAATTGATCTCCCCTAGGCCTGATCCTTCCATCCAGGGCAACCTCGTAAGCCAGCATTTACTACTCGCCCATCCTAGGCATCGTACTCCCCACCTCTTAGTTAAACCTCACAATCCTATGAGATCATAAATTACTATTAACCCCGTCTTAAAGATAAGGAAACAGAAGTGTGGCGGTTAAGTGATCTGTCCAGGTTCAGTACGATTTAGAGCTATATTTGCATATTGGAGGTTCCATATCAGAGCATGAGCTCATAGCCACCGCTGGGGCCTTCGTGTGTG